CTTTTTACAAGGGCCTGTAGTGACAGGACAAGGGGTAATGGGTTTAAATTGAAAGTGGGGAGGTTTAGATCAGATAGCAGGAAGACATTCTTCCTGGAGAGCATGGGGAGGCACTGGGACAGGTTGCCCAGAGAAGCTGTGGATGCCCCATCCCTGGAAGTGTCCAAGGCCAGGCTGGATGAGGCTTGGAGCAACCTGGTCTAGTGGAAGGTGTCCCTGCCCATGGCAGGGGGGTTGGAACTAGGTGGTCTTTAAAGGTCCCTTCTAACCCAAACCATTCTATGCTTTTCAAATCACCAGAGGTTAACAAGGTGGCTCATAACAGCAGAGGAGAGGAGGACAATGCCTTCAGCTTTCTAATAACAGAAAATGCAGAAGAAATCAAGCCATGTTAGAACTACATCTAAATGAACTGCATCTGGAAAAGCAATGGTCAAGTTCCATGTCCTTTTGTAACATCGTCATTTGGCAGCAACATCTTACCTCAAACTATTGAGGTAAGATGCATATGATCTAATTTTCTATGCTATTACGCATATGATCTAATTTTCAGGCAAGCATCTTAAGGTTAATTTCCAGGTAGCTTTAAGTACAGTCATAAGTAGTTAGGATATCTAAAAATTATGCTTACCCAAACCCAAAGTTTCAAACTTTGCCTGTTTCAACTGGCACACTTTAGCCTTCTTCAAAGTTTGACATCTTTTTCTCAGAATTAACCAGCACAACCAAGAGTCAGTTTTTACATCTCAAGCTCAAGTCATCACCGAGAAATCTGAATTCCAAAAGATGTTGGTAATGACCTTAATGATATCAATGTTCTGTAATATTGCTACTTTTCTTTAAAGGGATACACTACAAGCAATTCCTCATGTAGCACATACAAAGAGTTACACATGCATTTTCTGCAACTGGAGAAACAAATGATAAGGCACTAAAAATAATGTTTATTATGAGTAAGAGGACTCTCAGAGATGAGCTCAGTCATTTATCCTAATTGTCACTCCCAGTCCTTGTCTGTTCATTACATACTGGTAGCCTGGTAAATATCCTCTTCCACAATTTCAATATTGAATCAAATTCCCTGTAATCAGGAGCACATGTTTTGGCAGAGATTTAACAAGATAAATGCACACTGCTGTTATTGGGGCTATTCCGAAGTTTTATAAATTAATGCTTTCCTGTTAGCTATAAAATGCAGAATATATATACAGCAACCAAATGACTACATATTTGATCAGAGATGTGGCAATCACTTCAAGTGTTTCCTCACAGTGCTATGCTACAGAGTGTATGTCTGTTTACGAAATTTTCTTTTTTTAACATGCACAGTGGCACAAAACAAAGTTATTTGCCAGACAGCTACTCTTCCCTGTCATACTCCCGTTACTGAGATCAAAACCCGGTAGGAATGCCATTAATGTATTCTTCCACAAGAAAAGATCTCAGCAGGTACCAAGATCAAAGTTTAGTAGGAATTATAGACGTTTTGGGTCACTTCTACATGTAATTCTTGCTTGCTTTTTTTCATAAATATTAAAAGAAAAAGTGGAGTGAATACGCAACTGTTCAGCACAGGAATTCTATGAAATTCTGTAATTAAAGACGAGTCTGAGCACAGACGTTCTATGTCTAGTCTAGACAGACGCTTCTAACTTTCCACATTACATGTGACCCATAAATTACTAGTGTGAACAGATAACAAATAGAGCACATTCAGAAGAACTTGCATGTTTCTCAATTACACCTAATAATGAGAATTTTGCATACTATGGATGCCCAACATCCTAAGTATATATTGTGAACATATAGAACTTAGAAAAAGACAGCTTTGAGACTTTTATTAAAGCTACAATTTTCAGTCTTTTAGAATCTAGCAATATTTTGCTTGCTTTTTCCTCCTCTCGAGAGGCTGAGCTTTCAATCACAAGTTCTTTGTTTTCCATTGATGATGAGTGACGGATGAAGTCTATTAAACCCCACTCTGTACCAGCAAAGCATACTTTCTAAAATGCCATGCTAATGATAAATAGAAATAAGGTACAAAAGCACATTAAAAACGCCTAAATTTTGTACACGTTACTGTAGTTAGCCCCTTAACCACAGTACCACAGAGTAATATCTAACCCTCTGCTCCCTTCAGCAGATTTTGGATAAAGCCCTGAACCTCTTACAAACTGGGAAGCTTAGTTTATCGCAATATTTTTCCTATTGAAAAAGAATGTGCAGAACACCTATAGTATATATGAATTCTGCACACTTTCCAGACTTTCATGAAGCCATGTACAGTCAAACTGAATGAAAAGCATTGAACTGTTTAGTAACTATGTTTGATATCGTAAAATTAAAAATAAACTAAATTCTTCAAAGAATTGATGTTTTTTTTAATCCAGTTCTAATATACCTTAATGAAAAGCACTTTATTATTTTTTAAAAAAAGGATATATTTGTCATATTAGATAACTATTTTATAAATAAATTGTTTCTGGTTCATGTCTTCGTAGGAACAACACTAACAAAACTCAAAATACAAAAGCAAGTTTAGTAATAAAAAAGGACTCTTCCCATTCACCCAAGAGAATGCAACTGAAAAGGCAAATAACAAAATTAAAACTGTTGATAAAAATGTAATTATTTGCAATAGATGCACATTCTCCATGACCCTTTCTCAAACAGATACGTGCTTAGGTGCTTTTCTTTCATTTCCTCTTATGTTTCTTCTGGCCATTTAACCACTCAGGCCCTCCAAACTGGCAGCATCTCATTTTAAACAAGAAGGCCTCCCTAAGCAGGAGTAATGTTGTTATTGAACATAAGAACCTTTAACAGGATACAAAGACAGTTTTCCTCCCATTCCTTCATCTACCACAGCATATCTTACTAAAGAACTGTCTATAGCTCAACCCTCCACTCAACCACAAGCAGTCACAACAATCGTTTTGTTTCTGCTTCCCACTAACCAACCAAGTGAGGAGGAAAATCTGTGCGAGCAACAGACCAGCAGAAAACACACCCGAGAAAGCCATAGTTTTGAGCTTACTTCTTATTCACAGTTTACACAGCACAGATCGTACACTGCTTTTCTTTGCAGTAAGTCTCCCACTGCAACAATTCATGCCCACAATTTGATAATTAGAAATTATGTTGACTTTTCACATAAATATGAAAGAAAAGTGGAATTGTGTTCATCGCATCCACGTAAGCTTTCCTGAGTATCAGGAAAAGATAAGGTCAACTACTAGGTCATACTGCCCCTCTCCCATCTTTCCCCTAACAGCAGATATCAGCAACATTAAAAAGACACAAACCTAATGCTGTACAGATAGTACTGGTATGCGTCATTCCTCACCATCATTAATGTGTGCCAGGCCTGAACTGTCAGAAATGCACTTAAAATTAAAGGGATATTCACTGGGTGCCTTCATATCAATCTGTACTGCACACGTAACTCCAAAAAAAAAAAAATCAGAGAATGTAGAAATTCTGGTACCATTCTGCTACCACACAGGTAGCAACATTAGTTCCAGAGAAGATTACTGCCAAATGAAGGGTGACTGAACAGCACTGGGGACAAGGACAAAGTGCTCAAGGAGCAGGCGGATCCTGTGGATCCATACCTGTTGGCACAGCAGGTACCACTGACAGATTTGGCTTTGACAATGATGGGACTGTCTTTAAGGATCAAGGACTGCTGGGAGAGATGAAATCCACCTGGCAGAGTGGGACAAGATGATATCTGCCAACAGGCAGACCAGCCTGGTGAGGAAATGGTAGATGATGTGACCAGTAAATGGTACATGGTGACAGGAACAAGAGAAACCTAAGAAATTACACAGCAGGATGGAAAGAATAAAAGAAATCGTCCTGGGAAACAAGCAGGAGAAACCAGAGCTCTTCTACTGGTCACAGAACTACATCATCATTAGAGTCACAGAGATGTGGCAGGGTGGGATATTGATGCTTCTAGGAATTCCTGCATTAGCAGACTGGTGTCTGGCTTTGAAAATGCGTAGCCAGTGACAGCAGAGTGGAGGAATATGTGACAGCCAGAAAGACAAGAATAATCACACTTAACAAGTTAGGTTTCCACAAACACTCATGAATCTGAATTTGATTGATTATTCAATGCTTTTGAACAAATTACTAATTGCTCAGTGTTGTTAGCTTTCCTTTCCATTACATAAAGTCTTATTTTTCATTGTCTTTTACTGGCTGAAAGGTGGGTGTTTCCCTGTATTTTTCCTGCCAACACTTCATAAATTATTCAAAATACTACAAAAATCATCATTCCGAGTGAGAGGAATGGTAAAAAGCTCCAGAAATCTTGTTCACAGCTAAATGCATGTGGCTGAAACAAAAGTGGGAAAATTTTGCAGCTGTTAATAACCCAAAAATAAAGAAATAGAAACAGCCTAGGACAGCATATTAAGGAGTGTTTAACGTTTGCCCTGTCATTCTATCTAAGGAGGGTTTAATTGTTCTGAAACCGAGAACCTAGTAATCAAAGAACAGCACTGGACTTCACTGCTACAACTACAAGGCAAGCTAGAGCGCACACCCCTAAATTCAGACCAGCTGAAACAGAACACACTATGAACACATCTATGGCACAAAGTGATGGCCTGCTGCACCATTCAAAATGGTTTTGAGTGAGCTACTACAGTAAGCCACATCTGGCTGTCAAACAACATTTCTGCTCATCTGTTATCCCAAAAATTGAACTAGAATACGTACATGCCTATTGAAGAAGGCATCACTGATTAATATTGAATTGTTGTACCCCCTGGCCAATGCAATCATCTTATTAGCATGCTTTTACGGTATGAAACTATTAAGCCAACCCTCAAAATATGCTATTTGTATAATCAACACAATCCTATGGGTGAATATATGTGAAGTTACTGTACTGAGATTTTTATTCTATTGAGATCTTTAAAGTATTTAAATGTGCCATTTCAGTCAGAAAGTTTTACACAGCATCTGTGTTAAGATGTACCACTTACCTGATAAACATGGAATGCATTAGCAGCTTTTCCACGCAGAAAGACTGAGGGAATCCAAACATTAATAAGAGCACGATTTGATCTGAGAAGGACAGAGAACAAACTAAAATAGGGAATCATATTTATCTAAAAGAATTACAAAACAACTACCGACAGTGATTTAGATAGTGAGCAACAAAGCAATTTAACATTTCAAATGGAGTATCAGAAAAACTGAAATTTTGCCTGAACCTTTTATACTTGATGTATCTGAAAGTGTTCCCTAAAATTAACATAACTGAAAAAGTACTGAATCGATTCCCTTTGTGGGTTAATGGGAATGGGGGGAGGGGGATTTGGGGGGAGTTTTGTATTTTTTGAGGGGGTTGAAATTTCCCCCCCTCCCCAGTGTGATTTGACAACATTTGATTACACACATGAAACAAAAACTATTCATTTCAACAAACTCAGCATTTTGGTCCCCAAAACTCAGCAAAAACCCAAGTTCATTAAATAACAGAAGAGCACAATTATGGAGAACCATTTCCATTTATGCATTGATGAGGAGTTATTCTCTAAAAATTAGCAAGTCCATCACATTATGAATAGCATCTAGCATCTATCAAACCAAAATCAGCAGAAAACAGTAACTTTTTGGTGCTTTGTTAGAATACCAAGACCTAGTGCACCAAGAGAATCTTAAGTCTAAACTCCCTGCATTTAACATTATTAAAAACTACACAAGGGCGTGGACTGTGCAGCTCTCCATAATTTCTAACAACAGAACACCATAGCTGAGAATGCAGTTATTGGAAATAATACAGGAAAAGACAATTATCAAATCTGTTTGCTTATTCTTTTTTCCATGAAGACACTATGAAGAGAAAAATATGTGTATTATGAAACTCACATTTCAAAATCTGACAAACTCTGATCTTCAGATGTTTGACTTAAATCTCCAGGGACCTGTATTTACAAAACAGAAATAATTCCCATACACTGGTTATTATGCTTTCTATGAAGGAAATTCCAATTCAACATTCAATTTTTTAAATGTCAATAAAACCTGTTAATGAGAAACGATAAAAGAAAAATAAACAATCGTACAACATGATTATGAATATATCACCCTCGTGAGTTCTTCATGTTAGAATCTGCTATAGTTTAGTAGAAAAAATAATTGTAATTTTGTAAAATCATATAATTCTGAAAGTTGTAGGAAATCCAGGAAAAAAGCATCATTATTAGGTCTTTATAACCAAAGTATGGTACAACAAAGTTCGTTGCATGTATAAACAATTTATGGGAAAAGATGAGGGATATAATACCTAGTGATCACTTTCTTTTACAACCAACATTCCATTAAGAGAAAGACCTGATTATTGTATTCTAGCCGTGTTCTTACAAAACATAAAACTACAAAAGTTCAAAGATGGCAATGATGGACTAACACCTGCAGAATCAAAAGAAGCAGCAGTTGTGAGAAAACAAGACTGAAAGTGCATTTACAACTGAAATTGCACTAGCTTTTTACCTTACTTTAAAGCTGGTTAAACATAAAAGGGTATCTTCTATCCTTTAACTACTGTAAACTGTAACGCATAACTCAGAATAGTTACTGTGTTCTGATGAAGAGAAACAGCTAAAAGCTGTGAACTTCCCAAGACAGCTTCTACACTGAACATATGGTTCAGTGTATCTCTATAATTGTGAACTTCCCAAGACAGCTAGTACATTAGTTACATATGGTTCAGTGTATCTCTATAATGTTTGTGGCATGCATATTACTGTTTTTCAGAATATTTGCTAAAAAACAAATATATACTATTGCTTCTTTTAAAGCAATATATAGTTACTGAAAAGCAAACAAAAATTTCAAAGGGGACTAAAGAAAATTTACTTCCCTGATGTTTTGACAGGCCAGCTCAAGACCTCCCAATACACAACACAAAACTGAATTTTGCTTTCCCAAGATTAAAGGGATATGGCTCAGCAAAAACTAACTCATTCCTGCCAGAGAAAGGAAAAGAGGAAAAGAGAAAAAGAACTGTGCAGAGCCAAGACAGCTCCAGGGCATATATACAGGGCATATATATGGAGTGCTGAACCTCTCTGCTGCCCTTTTTGGAGGAACGAGGTGGGAAGGGCCAGTACAACCTCTCTCAATTACCGCCATCAGCTTTCCTCTCTTCACAGTCCAGTCCACCTCCAGTGGCAGCACACAGCCTGGCTTTCCAGGGCTCTTGTGCCAGACAGCAGACATTCTTCTATCTTGCCTACAGCCTGCACCCTCTCTTTGCCTGTATCTGAAGTGGCAAATCCTACCACCAGATACAACCAGTTATTTTAATTAACTTCAGTAGAAGTTTTGCATAGAAACCTCAAAACCAGAGTGTGGACTTTGGAAATAAGAAAAAGGATGACATTAATGAGTTTCAGTCCATGCACATCTATGTTGAAACAGATTATTTACTGATTTGGAGATGATAATTGAAGTGTTGTTCATTGTAACGTGAAACAAAGGGAGACATTGCATCAACGTAATTCCACATATCCTTGAAGCCTTACACTTTTTATGTTCCTCTGGTTCTTGCAGAAGTTCTGAAACCCAATAACTAGAAATCTGGAAAGATCATTGTGAACAATTAATTTATACGTTACAGCCATTAAAATTGATTATCAGCATTAAAAGAAGACAGTGAAGTTTGTGGATGCTATTTTTATAACAAACTGTAAATCATACACTATTCTAGTAACAAAATGTGAAGAACCTGGCTGATGTTTTCACACAAGTGAAAGGGGGAATCAAATATGTGTATCCTACAATTTCTGTCAGTTACTTTACCAACTTTGGAAGCTCTAATTAAAGTCTACTAAATAACAGATAGACTATCAGTACAGAGTTCTGTTTACTAATATAATTAAAATGGAGCCACTTCTTAGAATAATGCAACAGTTTTTTGGACTGTATCCAACTCAGTTTCATTTTGAACAACAGCAACCAATAACGACTAGCATTTAGCTAGCCCTTAAAAATATATTAACATTTCCACTTCTGAAAAGGTTTTAGGAATCAGTTTTGTCTCAGTATCTAATAGATTAGAATGTAATATCAGTATCTAACTACTGGATTAGGATATGGAGATATTGGTTAAAAACAAAATCTCTGAACGGGGACATACAATCCGCTATCTCCCAAGTAAGAAAGTACAGCTATAATACGCATGTGATGTATCACTTGTCATCTCTTAACACAATAATGTGACTGTTTCCATCTAAATAGCTGAAAATTATAGGCATAATCCTGCTTCACTAATGCACACAGAAATGTCATCAGCCACTTTACATAAATGTTATGATAAAGTGGGCAGGAATTTTTCCAGTGCAAACAAAGTAAGGAGCAATACCACGTAATAATATGAATAAAAACTATCACAATATGCTTCCCTCAGAAGAAGGACAACTACTGGGAACATCTTGACTCCTTCTGTTTCCCCCTGTTCATTTTCAAATTTTAACTCAATCTTTTAACACAAAAAGTCAAAGTGAAACAACAGTTGGTAGAGAACAATTCTGTTGTCTGAATTATCAATTTTACATTCAATTCTGCTAAAGAGAATCAAACACTATCAGAAATACCAAGTAAGGTATTCTTGACAGAAGTGTTATTAGCTGTTATTTCTTTATAATACAAATTTTATTTTAGCATGAGTAATGGTTTTGAGCTTATTCCAGGATGGTATTCTACATCGTAACAAACAAGCACTTACCGGCCCCCTCAAATCAATTAGTTCTTGTCTCATCTGGGACACAAGGGCTTCTTTAGCCATCAGAGCACGGTGCAGCCTCTCATTGAATTCAATCAGTTCCCCATGCATTTCAGCTACCTGAAAAACAACGTCAGGAAATAACTGTGTTCTAAACTGAAAAAACCCCAGACAAGTCATTTTGCACATGTATATCAAGTTTTAATTATATTTTTTGTTTTACCATACTCCCCAAGTAGTGCATCTCATTGCTAATGCATTAGTCTGAACCAACTATTAAGAACCGACACTGTTACAGTAATTTTGACTCATGCCTTGAAACTGAATTTAATAGGACACGATACAACTCTATGTCCAATTTTAGTTTTACCAGAGAAGATCAAACCCATGGCAACTGATTCTAATAAAACACTATTAACATTTGTTCCCAGTTTTTTGATGAACACAGCAATCAACAGTTACAAACTAATCACACTATTCTGAATTGGGAATAATGTAAAATGCACAAACTACATTAAACTCCATGAGTAATTCATGAATAATATCTTCTGCACTCTTACTTGGAGTTTTAATAGGATTGGAGCTAGAAGCCCACTTATCCCAGGCAAATCTGTGAGGGGTCAAAGGAGGACAAGTAGCACAGTTACGACACAGAGGCACAAGTTGTTGTGCAAACGTAAATAGTGTGGCATCAAGCGTGGCCTCTTTGGACACGGCGTCTTGCTATGTCTGTGCTCTCCATTTTTGAGTCAAAGTGTCAAAAAAGCATCAGCTGATACAGGATATTTATGAAAGTGAACAGAGCTGATGAATTACAAGGATGCAAAGTATACCAATTTACAGAGCAAACTATGTTGAAGTTGGTTCCCTGCCAAGAGCAGCAAGAAAAAGTAGAAGCCAAGGTTAAAGATGATACAGAGCTCTTGAATTTTTCTTATGCAGAAGTGAAGTGTAAGCCTACAACTTAGGGGGGAAAAACTCCAAAAGGACAAGGGTTCCCAAAAAAACAAAGGTCTAACTAGTAGCAGAAACGTGTTATCATCAAGAGAATGTGATGGGGAAACTAGCAGAAACAGGGAGCAAGGCTAAGAGAAACTTAAAACTTGTGTTCAGCAAGATTTTTAGCTACTCCTATCCGAACCATAATATTATAAAACAGAATTAAAGTTTCAATTATGATGGATGACCCATCAGTACATAATAGACCTGGCAAGGGCGTAGTCTTGGACTGATAATGTCACTTGTAGCCTTAGAGCAATGAAATTTGAGCCAAGAAGAGTTTGTAGAATTATTTTCCAGTGAAAAGACTCCTTCGGAAAACCCCACTGTTAGAAGTTTCCAAGTAAATCCTCCCTATATGACTCCTGAATTAAAGAAAAGGAATACTGATGAGGGCCACTATCAGAGGTGGAGCACCAGATGTGCAATCCCAGGACAGAGCAAGAAAAGCTACAGACGTAACAGGCGTGGTTAGATGAAAACAGAAGCAGTGGCTGGCTGTCCCCTGTAGCGGGCGCAGCAGGCTACCACAACACCATTGTTAAACATGGTTTTCCAGGTTACAGCAACTCTTGAAGTGCCTCCTCATCAGGCATCCAAAGCTGGCAGAATAGGAGAGGCAATGGGGTAACATTACGAAAGCACTGCAGAATAAGACGAATATCAATCCAGTACCTTCAATGATAGCACAGCAACTGGGACTACTGCCAAATCTCTTAAAAAGAGTTCTTCGTTTCCCTTGTGGAGGCAGTTCACCAGTATCTATGAATTTCATGCTTTCCTTTTCTTGAATTACCACTCTGCCTTATCCCTCTTCCCCAGGGAAGTTCCCCAAGATAAAGCAGTTTAATTCAATTTCTTTAATTTAGTGCTTGCTTTTCATTTAGAGCTCTGTTCCAGACAATCTGTATTGTCTGGAAACAAGCAAACAGAAAAAACAGCTTCAATTTGACAAGCCAGGAGTTGCCACCATTGATTAAAAATAAAAAATCAAAATAATTATACCTGTGTTGAACCTCAAGTATTCTTTCCTATTTCTTTTTATACCAGACAGAGTTCTTCAAATCCAGTAATTCATCAGTGTGCCTTACAAGCAAAAAGAGCTAAACTGAGCACATATATGATTTATCTGGTCTAATCTCTCTCAGTACTTCTGAGCTTACAAAATATTCTGAAATGCTCAGCAAATTACAAACTAAAAACCAGAAACAGACATTGAACAAACAACAAACATCCCCTGTAATAGGACTATCAGGAAGTACAAAAGCTAAGGATTTCACAGAGTGGTTATTTAAATCCCAACAGGCAAACATTTTTATTTGCTTGCCTGATTGTGTAAGCTAATTTAAGATTAATATTGATGCTTTATCTTACACACCACAATACATGAAGCTTTCAACACGCCTGAGTTACCATTTAGCTTCACTCCCCACTTTCTGAAGTGCAAAGGTTTAAACAGTTAATATAGTCTCAATAATCAAAAGCTTTTTTTTTTTAATTATTATCATTTATAGTGTACTAAAGCAGCTTTACCTTACTGCTTTTGGTTGCGTTCTTGTCAATGATTTCTGTGGCACTTAATCCCATTAGAAAAACTAACTTTCCAGCCTCTTAATTTGACTCTTTTCTGGTTCCTCCTGATAAAAGTCAGAACACTGACTTCCATGTTATCAGTTAATGATACTATGTATGCATATCTCAAATGTTCATATAACATCAGCCGTTTTTGACCTGAAACACTTGTTAGGAATCAGTAAGCTCATTTTGCAAAAACAAGATATGTATATCCACATGAACTTCTGCATTATGACTAATGTAGTAGGTACCACTTAGAAGCAGTTTTGCTTCATAAATTGCAAACATTTATGCACCAAACAAAATTGCCAACTTTACTAGATAAATGAACGGTATAATGTTGGTAACTCTAGATAAACTATTTTCCATACTAGCTTAACCACTCATTCCAATTCAAAACAAATAAATCATTCAGATTTGGTCCTGGTCACGTCAGAAATTGTGCTCAATTAGCCCAAATCCTTATCACAAAGGGGAAATGAGGCTAACATCAAATATTTAGACTTTCACACTAACAGAACTCTAAAGACCTGTTTTTAAAAGGCAACCCAAGTCTACTCCTGCTGCCTGGCAGCACTGCAGGTATACTGTCCAGCAGGAACACATTTAAGAGCAGTCCCCGGAGACATGACAAAGGTGAATACCACTTTATGTCCCACAGTACAGGACTAAGCTGTTAACTTAAAGCATGCAAGGAATGTTTCACTAAGCACATGAATAATACAATCTGTTTTACCAGGACATGCTCTTAGAGTAGAGAAACACACTTTTAAGGACTTGCAACACGAAAAAAAAAAAAGGGGGGGGGAAAATTTAAAAGGGTGTTTTAGTGGGACTCAGTTGGGGTTTTCTTTAATATGATCTGCAGGTAAAATTCATGAAACTTTTTGCATGAGCCACATCTAAATTAATTATTGTTTGGTCAGGTAGAGGCATTTTTTTCCCCAATTGTCACAGAATGCAAAACAACATATTTCCCAAGAACCTCTAGACAGACATGGAAGTTGCTTCTTTTTGTTCTCCGTGGAAGCACAGATGTACTCTTCCCATGAGAGGTGCCCTTTTTCAGAAAATCTACATTTTTCCACAACAGAAATAAAGCCAAACATCTTCAAAAAAGAGCAGATATCTGACTAAATATTAATAATTTTGTTTTTCTATAAGTGCAGACTGAAAGATCCATTTCAAAATAGGGCTGGGGTTTGGTTGGTTTTGTTTGGGGTTTTTTAATTTGTTTTGTGGTGTGGATTTATGCTTGGTTGGTTCTTCACTATAGTTAAAGCAAGCACAAGTCAAATCAAAATCAACAAGAAGAAAATAAACTGTAGCTTTCAATTCAAAATACATTGGGAACTGCGCATGTTAGATGAGCTACACATCATTGCCTGCGACATTTCACAGTCTTTGTCAATTGTGTACAGTACTAACACTGTTCACTGAGATTAAACCTGACATACAAAGAGCAGTAACGCACTGAACAGGAAAAACACTACTCTGGCAAGACCTGTGCCAGTAAGAGCAAAATAAGATACACAGGATAATCAGTGTAATAAGCATTAATAAGAGGGATAAAAATTAGCATGTAACTAGCTGCTTCATCATTCCATATATCCTCAGAGCAAAAGCCAAAGCCCAAGACGAAACACCTAACCAGCAAAGACCTAAACAAATCTCTAAACACCACCATTATTATCTTCCTCCAGATCCTTTCAACATCCCATTTCACACCTGGAGGAAGGTTTCACCTCATCTGCCATGCTGAGATTGCTATTCTGAATAGCAACTCATTATCCCTTTACTAGGATCTTCATCAGCTAACACAAAATACTTCCAAAGTACACCCAGCAGTCATGAGGGTAATCTGGCACGCACATGAAGTACAGACACATAGCTCTCAGGAGACCACTTTTCATAAACATTCATAGCCTGCCTCCAAGAGAACAGGACTTCGAACCAAATTAATACTATTGGATACTAAAAATCATGGATGCAAAAAAAGTAATTTCACATGCCTAAAAACATTATCTAGTGTGAATCAATTTGCTGATTTAACTGTTTAAAAAAAATGTTGACAGACTCATTTTTACCTAGCAGGCTTTTCACTAGCCATTAACTGCCCTCCCATAACTTGCACAGATCCAACAAAAACACAGACTGGAACAAGTTTTATATTTTAGGTCTTCCTGAAATCTTGCCCTGACAACAGTTACCTGTAACGGCTAAAATACAGTGAGTAAGATAAAAAAACACTCATGGATCACTGTAAACACCACATTGTTTCCTCCTTGTAGAACTTTTCCTTGTAGAGACAGCTTAACACGTAGCACAGTTATTCTCTGCTAATTGAATATAAACAGCAGTGACTCAGAAATAAGTTTGTTTGTAAAGAAAATTTTAAAAAACTGACCATGGGGCACATTAAAAAACGAATCGCTGATTAAGTACATGGTGATTCATGAGCATATCATTCTTGGCTCAGAAAACTGTTCCTCTTACTCAGCCAAGACTAGCCTGTCAACAAAGACATGCTGTACACATCATTCAAAGGACTATATATTACACTGCAAGAGCTGTACAAAAAACCGTTCTTGCTAGTTCACTTCTAGTACTACTGCACTTGGTAATTGCACTGTGCATTGTGCACCCTTGGGCATGAGCAGCTTATCCAAATTCTGGTGGGTTGTTTGTTTTTTTTTCATTTGGACATAAATTCTTACTTAAAAAATAAATGTACACCTATATAAAAACAGATTTCACTATTCTCATGAAATAAAACAAATTCTTTTAAGAACCGCAAAAAAAGTCAACCTTGTGCCAAAGCGCATTGCCCAGATTAAATTACATCTCACTCTACTGCAGTGATAGTTTGACTGACAAAAGCTACAGAAGGGCTTGTGATTCCACAGAAAAGGGCTGACCAAGTTACTAATTCAAGACATTTTCTGTACTGACTTCATACACGAGTAACATCTATTGAGTAACAAGGCTGCATAGTATGCTAGGGCCTTTAAATAAAAAAATAAAATAACAATTTCCGAAAGTATCACTGTCCACCAATGCACTGATCTCATCGTCCCGCTGAAAGAAACCTCGTGCTGAACGCAAGTACACTAATAAAGTAGCTGTCAGGAAATAACAGAACTGACGAAAGAGATATTTCTGAAATACTTTCTGTTTGTATTTCAGTTTATTTCCTAAAGAAAGGGTTTTTTTAATTCTTTCTTTGTCTCTGCCCTCAGTCTGTAAAACAGGAAAACTGGTGTCTGACAAGCCTTACATAAGCAGGATAAAGCAAATGAAACGTATTTTTACCTTACATATAGCAAACATATGCTAACAATGCACAGCAGTGGCCCAAAACATATCTTACCATGATTTTAAACACACTTCATTGCCTGAGAGTTGTATAAATCAACCTACTTTCTCTTCTAAAACGAAATAGTACTCTAATCCCAAAGCGTATGACATGGGAAGACATAAAGGAATTGCTAGACGTATCCAAAGATCTACCAATGTCCCATGAGCTGCAAATTGAAGGTTAGAAGAAATTGTGCTAACTAGATAGATGTTTCACTACTATATCTAAGGAAATATACCATTAAATATTAAGCAGAATTTTTACCAAAATTTCTCCAACCCTGTTAGAGAAATAACATACAGGAAAAAGGTTAAGTTTCTTTACTCCTTCAGAATTTTTAGTTGCAACTTTTCTTTATCCACTTGGTTAAATCAAGCGATTCACAAACCATAATTAAAGAAGCTTGATAAATCCAAAGTTTATTACAAATACGGTAAGAAATTGAAAATTTCTTCAATATATTATTATTTACAGTGGAAAAACAAAACAAAACAATATCTCTAATTACTCTTGAGATCAAGTCATTTCTCTGTGGGAAGAATTCAGTGTCCTGATCAGCTACCAAGAAATTCAACAGAATCTTTCTCCTCAGTTGAAATAGTCCACTAGGCACAAAATAACAGTTACTAAAACTGCTTATGTCTGAAGATTTTTCAGACCCAGTTCTAGCTGAATGGAACTACCACTGCAGCATTCAAGAGTGGTTTCTACCCTAGGCCTCAGTTTGAAACACAGTGCAGGCTAACCCTTGAAATTAAGACTTCACATCTTTCCTACATGGAGAGAAAAAGGAGTAATGAATTTAGGTAAATACACATGGATTGTTACAGGGGTTACATCCTAATTTGAGTACGTGAAGATACTGTTACAGACTAGTGAGTGAGACTTGGATGCAGGCTTCATCCTCTGGCTGCAGTTTGGAAAAGGTGTTCTAGCAGTTACATCCAGTGCTGGGTCATCTGTGCTACTGCTAACACTGTCCTCCACAAACTCAGAAACGTTAACAATGATGTCCTGAACATGCAGAACAAATTTAGTAGAACTAAGGAGGGTGCTTTTAAAGCTGAAAGAGATTTTTACCTGTGTTCTTAATTAAGATATTCTTTTGATAGGTACAGAACAGAGGAAAGGAGGCAGAAGAACTCAACCAAAGGTATGCATTAGGGAGAGAATTAGTTTCACATGGTCCTATGAGAAAAGGATAACCAAGTATGAATGTTTTAGAAGAACTGTATTAATCTCTTTGATGCATGACCTGCATTTTTAGTCATCTTCGTCCTAATCAGTTAATGTGAGTATCCAATTTCAGAGTATTTTGGGTAAGAGAAAGACATAGGGAATTGTTTTACTTTTTATAAAAATGTTCATTTAATATTTAATAGAAGATATGGGTGTTAGATATTAAATTTCATTACTTTTGTCTGGAAAATCATTCGTATTTAAATTTAGGATGAATCCCTAATCTTTCTTTCCTTTTTTTTTTTTTTTCCCCCTTAAATGAATTTTACATTAGTTTTAGAAGTGAATCTTCCATTAAGAACTTTTTCTAACATGGCCAAATCAACAGAACTAGTAGCTTCCATCATCCACTTCCATACTGGACTATTCAGTAAGCTACACGGTAAGGCAATACAGAAATGAAACACAGTTTGGCTATCAGAAAACAGTATGAAAGCACAGAAGAAGCTAGAGATTACAGTATGTCCTCATTTGAAACTCAACTGACAAAACAGCAATGTCTGTAATTCTCTAAGGTAACTCATACAATAACTGAAACCTATTGTCTATGATGCTTTCAACTTCCCCCCTCAGCAGTTGTAACATCAAGGAACTTAAAACCTTCATTTTAATATCAAAGTATAAATGTGTACGCTTGTTAGGAAAAGTGCTTTTAATTATCTGAATTGCTTTAAATATGCTTTGAAGTTGAATGAACAAATTTGTATTTTAACTGCAGATGCATGAAAATTAAATCTTTCATTTTTTTCTTTTTAAAGCAAACATAAAACTTTTCTTTTACACTAATGGGGAAAAAATAACAACTAAGCAAAGAAACTAAGCAAACAGCTTCAACTATTACTGCTAATTACGAATCCATAAAATCTGTGCAGTACAAACTTTACCTCAATCAATTTTCTTTCATAAGAGCTGGCTAGTTCCTCGCTGTTTTCTACTTGCTTTTGCTCTGGAACAGTAAATTCACCATCAGTGCTCCAAATGTTTGGCAGAACTAAAACAAAGAGATACCTCAAATTAAAACGTTAAATTACATAAACATCTAAGACAACCTGTTTAGAAGTAATCGCTCTAAAAGAAACAGTTACCAAAGAGTATCAAAGTATCAAAAGAGGATGTAATACTAAAGAGTATTACAAGAACTAAAACACAAATGCTGCAGGCAGCTTTCTTGTGAGCAATATTTAGACATGTATTCTAAACAGGAAAAAATGCAACCTAAAAGCATTTGGCTCTTGTGTGATAACAGCTATTTGCAGTTACTACCTACGTATATTAATTTCCACCCAAAGTTTTTGAAAACTAAGGCTATGCTTCTGAGTCTTTTTTTTCTGACTTCTCTTCCAAAATATCACTTCATATTACTTCCACAGGCTACTGACATAGCATAGAAATTACAGAAAACAGAGTTGAGAATTGACATTCCATACTTTGAGTATTTCAGGTTTTTGTATAAAGTAGAATCAGCTGCAGTTATTCCATTCCTGACACTTAATTGTCTAATTTATTCCTAGAAAACTCCAATAATGGAGATTTCATGCTTCCCTGCACAAGCTATTTAAACTTAAGTATACTTCTCAGAAAGGTTTTCATGATAGCTTATCAAACTTCCTTCACCTGCCATTTAAGTTCATTACTTCTTTTCTTATCTACAGTGAAAGAAAAACACAGTTTATTCTATTCTTGTTCTTCACCATCATTTATGCATTTGGTGATCATATTAAGGTCTATTCTAAGTAAGTCTCCTCCAAGTTACATGAAGTCCAATTCGCCTTCTCCTCACAGAACATGAATTTCAAAAAAACCAAGTTAACACACATAAAGTAAATAAGCCCAAATAACACAGACCTTTAAACAAATGCTTTCACCATTTTTCAAAATCTAAACTATGTATACAACCACTGTAAGGTAGACAGAAGACACCGTAACTCATCTAACTGAACACCCTTGAGTCTGGGAACTGATTTTTGTTTCAAGGAAGAATAATTAGAAGTTTATTATTATTTTAAATGAATTTTGAAAGCTATTTTAAGAGCTAATTCTTGTAAATCTTGACTGAAGTTCTTCAGACAGAAACTTCTAAGATCAGTATTTTCATACATGTAATATTATTGTACCTAAGAAAGTTTGAAAATGGTACACATTCAACTCCTGAGAAATCAGGGTGCTCATTTATTAAATATTTAAATACCAATATCAAACTGCTCCATCTACAGCAGTGATCCCTCATTTTGAGAGCTGGTATGATATTCTGGAACTTGACAGAGTTGGGATTCTTGGGAGGATTTATTTATAATTACATTTGCTGAGTGGGGTTTTTTTTATTTTTTTTTAAAAGTCACCACAAGGCAAAGTTTTAGCCTGAGTCTCATTTATTATTTTAGGAAACCATTTAAAAGCCATATTCAATATCATCCGATCTGATTATTGTAGCAAATGTGTAGATGCTTCTCTATTTATAGACACAAAAGTAACAACAGAAGCTCAATTTATTTTGACACTTTCAAAATAGTTTCACAGAAAGTCTAAATAAGCAGTGTTCTAAAATCTACAATACATTTAAAACTTGGTTTAGAGTCACAGAATCATTTAGGTTGGAAAAGACCTTAAGATCGAGTCCAACCATTAACCTTGCACTGCCAAGTCCCCCACTAAGCCTTGTCCCTAAGCAAAACAACAACAAAATCTCTTTAGTATCTCCAGGGCTGGTGACTCCACCACTTCCCTGGGTAGCCTGTACCAACACTTGACAACCCTTTTGGTGAAGAAATTTTTTGTTATCCAATCTAAACCTTCCCTGGAGCAACTTGAGGCTGTTTCCTCTTGTCCTATCACTTGTCACTTGAGAGAAAAAAACAGTACCCACCTCACCACAACCTCCTTTCAGGTAGTCATAAGGCCTCCCCTGAGTGTCCTTTTTCCTAGGCTAAAAAAGCCCCAGTTCCCTCAGCTGCTCCTCACAGGACTTGTGCTCCAGACTCTTCACCAGCTCCACTGCCCTTCTCTGGACATGCTGCAGCACCTCAATATGTTTCTTGGAGTGAGGAGCCCAAAACCGGATACAGTATTCAAGGTGCAGCCTCACCAGTGCTGAGTAGAGGGAGACAATCACTGCCCTAGTCCTGCTGGCCACACTATTGCTTATACAAACTATTGGCCTTCTTGGCCACCTGGGCACACTGCTGGCTCATATTCAGCCAGCTCCTGACCAACACCCCCAGGTCCTTTTCCACTGGGCAGGTTTCCAGCCACTCTTCCCCAAGCCTGCAGCGTTGCAGGGGGTGGTTGTGGCCCAAGCGCAGGACCCAGCACGTGGCCTTGTTGAACCTCATACAGTTGGCCTTGGCCCAACAATACCACTTGGAAGAAGATCAGTCATTGAAATTAGTCATTAATACAACACAGGGCAGCAGTGAAATTAGTTGGATGCAACAGCTTATGCCTCCTTGATGAAGAAAATTTCCTGTTACAGCAGAAGAGCACAGCTGGGAGTCTTCCAGGTTTGAACAGATCAGAACTCTGTCCCTGTTTACATGGCAGGTTGGACAGAAGTCAAGAACCTTAACCTTTGAGTGTGTAAATTAATATATAAAAAACCCCAAGAATTTTAATTTAAAACTACATAAGCAGAGGAAACAGTAGTTTCATCCTATTTTCTTCACAAAATTGTCACAACCTCAGAACACAGTAATAAAACAGGTCTTGTAAATATAGTCTGTAATGCTTTTAAGCCTATAAGCTAATTAAGAACAAAATTACCTAAAACAAGTTGTTACGGCCACTTTAAGTTACACCACAAAGGAAATTCAGCAATTTGCCCTAAGTTATACAATGACATATGTACTGAAAAGTACAAATAGCTCTATTTAATAATGTAAGTATTCTTAATTACGAAGGTTCACATCTGAAAAATATGAATGCCTATGATGGGATACTGCAAGCCATGTACATAAATCATGGGTGCAATTCTTTTGTTTCACTCTCCTTTTTTGAAATGTATCTAAACATACAGGTTTGCAGGGATTATTTACATGCTTAATTGCTTTTTCTGAGTCAGAGGTCCCAGTACTCCTAAAAATTTCACATAAATCTCTAATGGCAGCAAAGAGGAAAAAAAATACTTGGTTTTATAAAAGTACAATGTGTCAAGTTAGAATATATGAAATATTATTACAAATAGTGCATGTAGCTGAAATTTATTCTGGTCACTAATGATAAATAGTACAGAAAATTATTGCGGAATGATTAAATATCCTTTGAACATAAAACATATATGTATTCATTTTCAGAAATGTTGGTACTGTTCCATTCACCTTTTCATCTATAAAATCTGACCATCCTACTCAGTTTCTGTTCTTATCACTCACTAATTTGCTTAATTTTAACCTAGTAGAATATAGCTAGCCTAGGAATATTTTTTTTTCTTTTCCTATAATTACACTCATCATGGAAAATGTCAGTATCTAATGAAGGATAATTTCTGCTATTATAAGAAACTTAAACGATGGTTTTCGTGAATAATTCTTAATATGATTCACTACACTCCAGAAAAGTCGGAAGTAAAAACATGTGTTCTCACTAACAAAAATCCTTTTAAGGATGAATGGAGCTTTTAAACTACAGATAAGCATCGTGACTAGCCCGTAGGAGCAGAATTAATGCAGTATTCATTCACACAGCCACTTACATAACCACAATATTGACAATTAAAAAAAAAAAAAAACCCCAGATGGTGCCGATTTCTGAAAAGCCACCTCATGTCTCAAACCACCTTCTGCAGTCAATGGAAATACAGATCCCACCAAACGATGATTCAGAATCAAGCCTCCCATTCATCCTGCCATGGACACTTCTATCACCACTAACCACTGAAGAAAAACAGGTAACACTGCTGACAACTCATTATCTTTCAGATATAAAATCTGTTTATTAAAGTCAAAGAAACTTAGCTAAAAAAGTGAAATTTCTGGTCTTAATTCAGAGTCTATTTCCAACAGTCTACAAATACTGATCTCCTAAACAACACTAACAGTGCAATCTAGAGATACTAAACCTTCTCTCCTCAAAATAATTATTCTTATGTTCCAATATCACATTAATTCACAGATTATTTTTAAAATTAAATTTTCATCTGACAGCTTTTTTTTCAATAATAAACTTTCCAGAAAATTCCACCTCATCTACCAGAGAACGCCCTGTAAAAATAAGTACAAAATTCTTCATTGGTATTTTTCTCGAAAGGAAAAGATAGCAATTACATTATTTTCACTGTTGGGAGATACTACTCTGCTATGGTTGGAAGAGATGAATAGGACTTGTATTTATCCCTTGCTAACCCTACTTTCACATAAATGATTTCATTTGTTCTGGGGAAGACTCAGCAAGGAAAGCAAAGACTTGTTGATGGTTTCTACTCAGCAGCAATTTCGGAGTATTCCATCACATAACATTCTTTTTGTTTCCTACCAATCTGCATCACAAAACCATTCACACACAACAGCAAATAGCCCAGTCAGAGATGCATCAGGGACAGTTCTCACAGAAACTGAACTACCATCAGATGCTGATATTTTCCAACAGGGAGAGGGCTGATGTCGTGCTGGGTGGCATGTGGAAGCATGAACCTTGACCCCAGCCACACAAGGATTGTTTGGCTGAAGTGCTGGTTACAGACCAGGGTTTGCACAGGACTGGGTGGTTGGTTATCTACAGAGATCCATTTCAGGATCAATAGTGGAGGTGGGGGAGGAAGCAGATTCTTGTGAACCAGAGACAGGACTGTCACCTCATTATTCTTCCATTGTCAGTTTTTATACAAGTCCAGGAGTCACTTCCCCCATTTGGTTACTATACCTATGGTTAGTAAATGCCTCCTCAATGGCGTTTACAGAAAAACACCCCCTGTGCATGGATTTTCTTTTTCCCCTTCATTTTATCCTTACCTTCCACTGCTTGACCTTCTCTTCTGAGCATCTGGACAGCTCCTACATACTTCTTAAGCTGCACTTTTAGCACCTCATTTTCTCTGTTGATAAAAATAAGAGAATAAATGAATATTACTGTTTTCTCAAACTAAAGGAAAGCCCCTTTCAATGGAAACAAACATACTATCAGTAATAATAAGATTTATCTAAGTTGTGTCAAAGGAAAGAAAAAAAAATAATGACTTACACATTAAGTAACACACCAACAGCAGAGTACCAGGAAAAGTAGTTTTCCAGAGCCACATAAACATATCAGTGAAACAGATTATCTCATAACTGAAATCTTTTCATTAACTGTTTCATTTAGGTTTTCTATACTGCCCTACATTGATGTCAGAAAATGACAGTCTAAATCAACAGTCAATTAAAAAAAAATAAGGATGGCATACTAAAGGAAATTCAGGATGTCCAGTATGAAATTAGATAACCATTTTACTAGTTGTCCAAGTATTTAGTATCAAGCAAATCATTCAGCTATAGAAACAGACTTCATTATGATAAGAAAATGCCAGCACCTCAGCAACAGTATCCAAGATAAAAGTTTTCCACACACCACTCCTAAATGAAAACCTTAAGAGAAGAAATTAAGTTAATCCCTTTGACTGTTATATTTCAACATCTGTGCCTGTCTCATTTTTCTCTGGAAAGTACAAGTATTCAAAACAGGCACCATCATAGCTCCACTGAACAGCAAGCACCTTAGTTTATATTTGGGGGAGAAATAGAAAGGATTCTAACCAACTGAATTTTAAACAAAGCTGACAAATCACATGTCTGAAAATTCAGTTAACTGAATGGGCTTAAACAGACAATTAAGTATGACAGAAGCATTTACACAGAAGAAACATAACTAAAATATGTTGCAAGAAAATTAATTCAGACAAATTTTACTACTCTAAGAAAATATCACGGTAGAAGCACATAGGTGCTACAGGCGCCACACATAATATTACACACAACAAACCCGCAACTGGTTAGAGGGAAGAGAAGTTACATAAAAACTGAGGTTCCCCTCCCCTGAATATATTGCAATATTATAATATAATAATATGTTACAGTATAACATATTATTATATAGTTAAAATATCTAATATGCTGTGAATATACTTGTGTACATTTTTATACATATGTATTTTATATATATTGTGTATATATAACATTAACATTATAATATTATATCATTGCCTTATACTATTATAATAATCTGAATACATTTAATATACACACACACACAAAAATAAGCTGCTGTTGTGAGCAAAGCCATTATTTATATATAAAAACCCTAGACTGGTACTATATTCATATTCCATATATATGTATTTCAGGTAAGTTTTCTGAACTATGTAACCTCAATTTTATTCAGTCCTTTAGCAGAAGGTTGCAAAATAATTGAGAAGAAACTATTGATGGCCAGTTATGAAATTTTGATGATTTTATGCCTTTTATGATATTTTTTTGTTTCCTAGACTAGAACAAGTCCGTTTTTCCACCAGAGATGAACACTGATATTGAGATTAAGGAAAAATAAAAAATTTTAAAAGCCAGAAACATAGCTTAATTCCATATAGTATATTTAAACAAATCTAAATAATTCATTCAGGAAAAAAAAAAATCATATCACAGCTGGACAGAGAGAGTTCTCACCACAAGTGTAAATACGTCTGCATGGCAATAACTGTATACGATTACAATGCACTGAATTTTAAGGATTGCCATGAAATACACCATCTTCTACATTTGACAACTGAATCAGTCAGTGCCTTCTGTCTGCACTGAAACAGCACCCAATTAAAAAAAAAAAAAATCCATTTTTTACTATTGTGCCTATCGACTTAAAATTTATATGGTACAGATGAACTTCAGAAAGACTTGAATTCACTTACAGTTTTTTGATACATGACTGAAATTCAAAGCAGGATACTACAGCCCAGTCACAATTTTCTAATATGCCTCTTAATCATCTTACCACTTCTAATTCTTGACAACTGTCCCTCATTACTACTGCTTAACTAGACTCCAAAGAGGGCCCATCCTGATATGTATGAATTTATATAGCTCTATATCGGAGCAAGGAAAAAAATTTAGCAAGCACTCACTAAAACGTCTTTAATGGCTTCAAGAAGTATTACATAAGATACTCATAGCAAGTATTTTATGGGCAGAGAATCTCCTATATAGGAATTAAGGGTCAGATTTGCAGAAGTTCTTGCCCAGCTGACACACAGTACTACCTATTATTAAGGATGTTAAATACTTCTATGTGAAAGTCCAGCTTTGCTTCTGCAACTTCTCCAAACTTTCCCATCTAACTTGAAGCAAAACTGTTAGCCTGTTAAGAGACTAGTGATAAACACAATGTTTTCAGCATCTTTTGAAGTGCTCCAAACGATTTCACATTCTGTGTTGAAGAATAAGTAACAAGACTGTAAGTGCAAGCTGAAAGGGGTAGAGGAAATAAGAAATTTAAAAAAAAAAAATCAGGCTGAAATACATGGGAAAACAGACAACTATGGCACTAAAAGCACACCCAACTCTGAAACCAAAATTATAATAAATTTCCCTGCCTGATCACTTCTCCCATGTTAATAAGTAGCTGAAAGACAGAGTGATAATAAGTCATTTTATCCTGTATCAGGTCAATCATAGAAAATTACAATCTAGCATTCCTACAAATTACTCTTTTTGTTCAAATGGCAGAGGTCTAGTGTGTGTTGCTGATTAAGCCTTGTACCATGGGTGATTACTCACGTGGAACAAGACATACTTTTCTTTGGTTGTTTGATTACAAAACTAGAAAACTGCACATTAAGAGCTACATTGAAAAAATACTCTAATTTGAAATCCAATCACACAAAAAGTGCATTTAAAGCATCCTATGAAACCAGAATTGAAGTCCTCCCCAGGTCTCTTTATGGTTTATTATTATTTGGGTACCCATAAAAAAAAAAGATTAGCAGAACATCTTTGAAGCTGTATGTCTTCCACAGAAAGAGAAAACCATATGCATTTCCTGCATACAAAGGTAGTTTTTGACAGAGCAGATTTATCTCCAAAATCTCAGCCACAGACCACCTTAGCAACAACAAACTTGCTTATTTATTATTTTTGGTTGGAAAGATACCTGGAATGACAAGGAATGATCAATCTCACTATAAATATAAGTTGTCAAATACCTTCAATTCCCTGCCTAATTTTGAAGCAAAAATAATGACACTTCATCTCAAATTGATTATTTAAAAATTGCATTTAAGAAAACCCTGCCTAAAAGAAAATCAGAACTATAGTAAAAATGGTAATAATTTTTTAGCAGCATAAAACAAGTTCACATTTCGGGAAACAGGTACCTGACTTTTATGTATATAATGTATGAAAAGATAGCATGCAATATTGCTGCTAAGTGAATATCCTCACCAACAAGTTAATTCCTGACAGGAAAAGTAGCAACTGTTCCCTAAGAACCCTCATATTGAGAGGATGAATGTAACAGGCTAACAAGCAGCATGTTCTCACTTTAAGGGGAGGACAGCATGGAAGAGAGATGCTATCCATATAGAACGCAGCAGTGGAGCTGCTCCCCTGCTGGGACTTCTGCTGTATTCTTGGAGAAGGACCAAGGCCCCGTGGGTGAAATATCCCCCACCTTCCTTGTGTGACAGCATCCCTTCAGCATGGGGTGAGACAAGGGGAGTTGAAGGAGCTTGGTTGTTTTCCAGTCATTTTCACAAAGTTTCCGTGACAGGCAGCAACGCTTACTGGAGCATGTATACATACACCAAGCGCAGTTAAGGTCTACTATCCAAGTCAAATTAGATGCATCTTATGTGCCTCAAAATAAGTTTTCTGACTCTTTATACAAATGAATACCAGTAAGCAAGTGTTTTATAAAAGCTGACTTCCCAAAATTTTATTATAAGGTTAAAGAACAATAGATGCTTACATTATAATTTTTGTTGCAGAGGAAAAGGCCAGATAGGACCTATTTTGCTATACCATAACAGAAGGAAAAAAGGAAAGAAAAAAATACACCACGAAAAACTACACCACACAACTGTTTTTGAAGAAGATACAAAAATTTCTCTAAGCCTTCTGTAAAATAAGCATGGTAAGAAAAGAATTTGAAAAAGAGTAGTTTCTCATTTACCTCAAGTATAGTGGCCTGAAGAATACTGTAACTAAGTTCCGGGCACAAATACCACATACTAACAAGGGCTTTCTGTGGACCTTACTCCTAAAACATGTCTTACTTCCAAATTCAGGTTTGGGGGGAAGGGAAAAAAAAAAAAAAAAATCAAACAGATGTCTATGTCTTGATAAAAACTTAGTGTTTTCTAAAACAATAAAGAAGTACCAGTATGCTGGCAGCCCAGAAAGCCAATCATACCCTGGGCTGTATCAGGAGAAGCACAGCCAGCAGGGCGAAGGAGGGGATTCTGCCCCTCTGTTCTGGAGCCCTCAACATCAGAAGGATATAGACCAGTTGGAGCGAGTCCAGAGGAGGCCACAAAGATGCTCCGAGAGCTGGAGCACCTCTGCCATGGGGTCAGGCTGAAAGAGTTGGGGTGTTCAGCCTGGAGAAGAGAAGGCTCCGGGGAGACCTTATAGCACCTTCCAGTACCTGAAGGGGCTACAAGGAAGCTGGGGGGGGATTTTTACAAGGGCCTGTAGTGACACGACAAGGGGTAATGGGTTTAAATTGAAAGTGGGGAGGTTTAGATCAGGTATCAGGAAGTTCTTCCCGGAGAGGGTGGGGAGGCACTGGGACAGGTTGCCCAGAGAAGCTGTGGATGCCCCACCCCTGGAAGTGTCCAAGGCCAGGCTGGATGAGGCTTGGAGCAACCTGGTCTAGTGGAAAGTGTCCCTGCCCATGGCAGGGGGGTTGGAACTGGATGGTCTTTAAGGTCCCTTCCAACCCAAACCATTCTGTGATTCTATACCAAATTTCCATATAATAAAAAATTGGATGAATACTGAGAATGAATATGTAGAATCTATATACAGAGGTTGGGCTAGATGACTTCCAGAGATGCCTTCCAACCTGAAT